ATTTTAACATCTGCTGCACCAGAAAACTCAACTTTCCATTTTAACTTTGCACAGACGGACTCACCTCAGCTTCTGGATGGCAGCCTCATCACACTCTGCGATTTTGGGTTTCTCGCCAATGTAAAGTGCATTCTCCACATCCACCACTTGCTCCCACCTGTTGCAGGGCTTGTGGTCGTAGCCAAAGAGCTGCTGCTGCCTAGTGACAGTCTCTGGTGACTCCACGGGTACCAGCCTGTCGCCTCCCTCGGTGTGTTTACACACGAGGATCCAGCCTTCCTCCAAATCTTGGCCCGGACGGTGCTCCTCCAGCTGCTCCTGGGGACAGCCACGGATCAACTGGTCAACATTTGCTTTCTTACCAAATTTACAATAATTGAGAACACACAAATCAACCTATAATACCTTTTTCGAGTTCCATATTTTAAATTTTGTGTCACAGCTCATAAAAAATTCTTATTTATCTTGTATACAAAGTTCATCCACTTTCTGAAAAATCCATATTTCACTCCACCCTTGTTACCTTTAAGCCAACTGTTTTCCTGAATGGCTTGCCCTTTTGCAACCAGAGGGTTTAAACAGCAGGTATGAGGAGCTGCATGTCTGAGATGACATTAGGGATATCAGCACTCCATGACCTCATACAGAGCCAAGAGCTGAAAAACTGTCTGAAATAGTTTTATTTGTAAGCCAAACACAGGAATTATATTCCTGTGTTTGGCTTACATGAATTATTTGTATGTAACAAAACCCATTATTTCTAACTTTAACCACAATAGACATGTGCACCATTATTGTGCAATATACACTGCAATAATTATAATCAAGATTAATCTATTTTTGCTGTAATAAAATGTGGCAAAAATATATAAACCTCTCTCTTTCTAACTCAGTTGCTCGAGCTTATATTCATGATTCATCCTTTTACAGAGCTCTTATTGATAGTGACAAGATCACCTGTTTTTCTGGGATTACCAGTTAAACCTAATGCATATCTTTGGATGAAAATCACTGCAGACATGAGAAGATCCTAATATGATATCACAAACTGAAATCTTCAGTCTTGCCTTTCATTCAGAAAAAACATTTGATATAAGAACTGGAATCAGTTAACGTGAGTTTCATTTGTAAAGAGGGTCAAATTTCACTACTATGTACCTAATATGTTACTTTGCAGCTCAATACTTTTATTCTTTGACCCTTTTAGAGCTGTGTTATACTGAGCCTTAGCAAAGCCACTCAGTTCATCCACTGTCTGAAACTGTCTGAGTGCTTTTAGGCTCACTGGATTATTGGACCTCATTATTTAATGTGAGCATCCACCACTGTAACAATATGTAAAGTGTATGTAAACAAAGGGTTATTGTTGTTTCAAGCAGCACAAAGACTTTTACTGATGTCACTGCATCCAAGGGGAAGTAACAGCGTCTTACCTTATTCATTTTGACCCAAAGGCCCTGGCTATTACAGTACTCCTCCCCTGTTGTCCGGATGCATGTCCCTTTCTTTGGTTCAATGTTGTACTTGCATGCTTTCTTACTGTGGGCAGTCTGATGGGGGCTTTCGAAGACAGAGACTATGGTTTTTCCCACGGTGGAGCCTCCCGCAGAGGCACCGGAGGAGGAAGCGGATGAGCTGGAAGATGAATCCTTGCAGATTTTGTAGCACACTTCTTTGGGGACATAACACAGACACTCGGGCACCAGTTCGCTCCTCCTGAAAGTTTCGATGCACCTGTTCAGGAAGCGGATCCTGCCGAGCAGCAGGTGAGGGTTGTCGCCCATCGTGAAGGTGGCAGTCAGTAGCTCAGCAGTAGCAGGAGCTCATCGGCTGACATTACACCGCTTTTGTTTTCCTGCGTGGCTGCGCAGGGATGCTCCTGTCAAACCAAACAAAACCCAACTTTCTTTAGAAACTTTGGCTTCGTTTAAAATATCGATTAATTAAACTGGCTCCTAGCTCTCATAATAAAATCTGAACACTGTTTGAAATGCTAGGAATTCGCTAATCAGCAGGCAAAGTTCCCTGACACAAATATCACCTCCTCCCATTAGGTAAAAGTGAGAGCGCTAACATTAGCATGCTACCAGGGTGTTCAGTAAACGAGTCCATCCCTCACCGCAGCTGTCATCAACAACCCTGGCGGCCAGCTAGGCTCATATTTAACAAAACTTCACGGGACATGAACATTTCACGGAGTAAGAAGTGTGGTCAATTCTTAAAAACAGTAGATACCAACGTACCTGCTGACAAGTGTCCCGCACCCTGTTACAGATTCTATGGTTTTCTGACAACACGGAAGAGCAAAGACTCTTCTGATCCTTCCGGCCTTCCGTCGCTGTTTCCTTTACAAAATAAAAGCTTCTCAGTCGAGTATTTAATTTTCTTAACTTTTGAAGGCTGAACTCCGAAAATAATTGCCAGAAAGTTCACATTTTCGAACCCTGACTGTTTATCCAACCTTCCAACACAACTAAAAAAAAAAAAAAGAAATTAAAAATAAATCTGCATGGATGAGTTTTAATTGGTATTTGCAACAGCCGGGATTTTTGCGAAATTCATTGATTAATATGTTTTTATAAAAACTCATAAAAACTCGTGTCAGATACGATTAAATACATTAGTGTGATCTAAGTGTAAAGAATAAACTGCAACTTTAATATCATTATTGTTAGTGTTGTTGTTGTTAAGGGAAATCACGTGGATTTATGTAAATACAGTTATAGCAAGGGAGGATTACTTACTGAACAAAGGCTTCAGACCTCCAAGGCTTTCACAATCAAAGGTTTACTATGGATTGAGTTAAATACACCTTTTTAATAGCATTAATCACATCTTACAGAGCCTGTGTGGAAGACAAACCAATTTCAGTATATTCAACAATCATAAACATTCATAATTTTCATTATACCGATAAAGTTTTCATTTATGAAAGACTTACAGTCATCAGGGTTTTACAGTGTTTTCAGTCACAGTGTTTTCTGCTTAGAAACACTTTAGCTCCCTCCAAAGAGTTTTTAGCCACTTAAAGTAAATTGCACAATAATGATAATAATAACATATTTTTCATCTGGAATTTTATTTACTCAAGAATATCAGACATTTTTTTCTCATAATACATAGATTTCTGACAGATAGGATAAAATGGGTCTCTGACACAGTACTAAGCAAACAGGAGATCTAATAGTTAATAATTAAATAAATAATTAGTTTTGTGCTTAATTTCCAAAAATGTCTACAAATAAAATCTGAAAAGGATGAAATCTTATTGTAGTTCACAGTTTAAAACAAGCGAGACCTTTCAATGTCACATTTCCACCTCCCCAAAAAATGTTTTCAAACATTTTTTTGTCATGTTTACAATAAACGTTTTCAAAAACATGACAGCAAGTATCAATTAGTTGTGTTCAATTAAAACTTTAATTAGTCCCCTTTCTTGTTCTTTGTGAGTGATCACATCTATTTCCCTTTCATCATCCCCGTCTGCCTCGTTTGGGTTTGACGAGACTTCCTTCAGAGAAGAGAGGCTCCCAC